AGCCCTTTGCATAATCATGCATCATGTGAGAATTTAGAGTTTGAGTAGATTATTGAAGCAGTGAGTTTAAGCTTTCTTATAGTTGGACATACTCATGAAGATGTAGATGGACTCTTCAGCCATATGTTGGAATCACTTCAATGGGCAAGTTATTTCATTGTTCCACACTGATGAGATTTCAAAAATGCATTTCACAAAAAGCATATTAGCTTTATAACTAAGGTTGCAGATTTCAAAGTGCTCTCTCAAAAATGATTTTTGTAAAAAGGGTAGTTACATTCTTATTAGCTACTAAAAGCCTTTAGAGTTTCATGTTAGCAAGATAAAACTCTAGTCATGCTTAATGTGGCTTTTAGTTATATCCAAGGTTTTCCATGCCAGCCTAACAATAATAATATTATTGGTAGTATTTCTAAAGTTTTGGATGAAGGACATCCCAACATATCCATTGATTAAGAATAACTATACAAAAAGGTGATGATCAGTAATTTTAAATCTTAAGAAGTCCCATGATCAATTATGTGAAGGTTTTGGACTTTTTCCATTGGTACAAACTCCAGTGGATGATTCAGATTTAATGCCTATATTATAAACAATATTGAACTCGAAGTAGATATGTTTATTAAGGATAATCAAAGTTCAACAAGTTCCACCTACCTTAATATGAATGATTTATATTAGTGATTAATATTAAGCACTTATTACAAATGATTTAGAGGAAGTTTAAATGTGGAAAATTACAGCTGTTAGATTAGGGAATATCCTAGAATATACTTTAATATTCTAGGTATATTCTTTACACTCTCTCATTTTCTAAAGAAAATATACATTTAATATTTATGTATGGCTATAATACCATATACTAGTTCTAGAATAGTAGACATTATAGATGACACAATGTTGTTAGTGTCATACAAATATAGATGATGATTTTAAAGGACGGCATTACAATAATACACTAGTTTGAGTGCAATTATTTGTGTGGATTGGAGCCTTTTTTGAACATTTTCAAGTGTGTATTTGGATATGTTGACAATTATAGTGCTACTTTTTAGCAATTGTATCATCTCTATCAAGGGCTATCTAAGTCAGCTATGCAATTTCATGTTTGCTTCTGGAGCATTTTGCTTTATATAGAACCAAATATGTCAGATTGGATCACATGATATTGAGCTTGGTCTTTTAATATTTGCTAAATAATAGTTTATCATGTCTACTAAGACACCCTCTCTATTATGCCTAGTGGATTCTTTCTTTGATGATGATTATGCATCTCTTTATTGATGGAATGATTGATGATGTTTCATGATAATTAGTTATTCTCTTTGATGGCTTTTGGCTTTTCTCATTACCATATGTTTTTTGTAGTTTGCTCTAGATTAATTTCTTAGGTTTGAGATATAAGTTGAATGTTGTTTACACTTGTTTAACAAACTTGAGTTCCTTAGTATAGTTAACTGAGATCTATTCGGATTGGCTGGTATAATGGTTGGCATGAATGAGTATTTGTTTAATTTGCAATATTCATTCTATTTTATTGATTGTTACTACAGTTAGTTTTAATAGATTTAAATGTTATTTTTTTAAGTGATATATTTATGAGCATTTTGCTTGTCAGTCAATAATATTTGATGTTCTTTGAGCTATCTTTCTTAAGTTGTTTGATGTGCTATCTACAATCTTTCATAGTTAAACTTTCTTATTGAGTTTTCTTGATAATAAACTTACTATTAAATTTTGTTGATTGGTTAATCCTATAACTTTAACCTTTTATGATCTTAGTGGTTCCTATACTCTATTTTATACTAGTTTATCAAATGATAACTGCATAAGACTACTTTTGTGTTCTAATCTAGGATCTATTGAGGAATCTATTTTTTGTATGCCACTTTCATTTGTGTTGGGACCGATTGATCAAGCATTTCATTCTCATGAGCTTACTGATGCATCATAACATAGGAAGCATCTAACGAAGTCACTATATCCACCTGACTATCCAATAAAGGTCGAGAGCCATGATTCACCTCTACAAACTCCACAACATATCAAAACTTGTTGTAGATCATTTTCATACTATCACCTTTTGAGAGGGTTGATGCCCGAGCACCCTCATCTCGATGCTGCGAAGTTCTATGAGAAGGTTTATTCTGCTCTTTTTTGTCTTTTTTCTTGATGTGATGAGAAGTTTTTTTATGTTTGTTACAGGTGAATCAAGATCTCACCCAAACCGATCTCCGTGATACAATAAGGAACCCGGAAATAGCTCACAGATTTAAGCACCCACAATAGAAATTAGAAAATAATTTCCATAAAGTGGTGATACTTCTGATAGAAACTTCAGGCTTGAATTGTAATTTGCCAAAAACTCTGCTGGAAGTAGAAGGTATGTAGCTTGGGATCTGCTAAGAAAGACCAACTCAAGGATATCAATTTCAGGATACTGTCAATCACAAGCGACCATCCCCGCTGTGGGCTGAAATTGATATGCTTGAGTTGGTCTTTCTTAGCAAAACCCAAGCTACATACCTTCTACTTCTGATAGAAACTTCAGGCTTGAATTGTAATTTGCCAAAAACTCTGCTGGTTTCCCAGGTCAAAGTGTGTCAGGCTTGCCTGCCACTATCACTGAGCGCACTTCTTTAAGAATGGAGTTTCCAAGAAAATTGAACACATTAAGTCCAGAGTTTTCTGAAAAGAAACAAGACCATAAGAAAACGAGTGAAAAAAGAAAAAGGCATTTGGAAAGCTTACCAGATGCTACGATATCCAACATGAATTTACAATCTTGAGCAATATGCACCTCAACCTGTTTATAGTCTTCCTCTGGCTTGTCTGCAGCTCCTCCACCCACCAAGTCTTTGGAAGAATTCCCAGGAAAAATCCTGGAGACACACAATTGTGATACGAAAAGCCTCTTCAGCTCCAGCAGTGTCGTCAATAGCCACATAAGCACGTAGACACGCCTTTCCAGCCTTTCTCGTCACGCCTTTCCAGCCTCGTTTTAATACACTTCTCCAAGTTTTCTCTCAAGGAGGCATTGGCATTCTGGATCCTCTTTTCTATGGTTTTGATAAACGGTGACAAGAAAGATAAGTGTCACCTTTTCTGAAAAATAGAACTTCACCTGGACGTGGGCAACATAGAACTTTAGACAATTCATCTCACTCGCAATTCGCTCCAACAATCAACTCCTCAGGTCGTCACCACTGTTGTCGACTGGATCCAGAGATCCTTCACTGCCACTCACTAGATTTCTATTGGAAATTCTATTTTCCTTGAGCTCCAGCAAGAGCTTCTCGATCTGCAAGCAAGCTAGGAGTTGACACCATCGCGCATGGTGACGAGCTTACCTTGCAGCTCTTGCAATGGTGTGAGCATCCGGAGCACAGCACTGTCCACATCCATGAGCTGTGTGCTGAGGCGCACGAAATCGTTGTAATCCCTGTTGATGAGATCGACGAGCTCGTTCTTGAGCACTGCAAGGTGACTGTGCAGCTCGCCATGCAGCGCCTCGAGCAGCATGAAGCTGTGCAGGCTAGTCAAAACCCTGAAAAATAAAACTCGAGTTTGTGTGTAAACAGAGCACACTAAAATAAACAAATTTGTGAGCTTCGAAGTGGATTTGTTTAAGTCTACTACATAAGTAGTGAGAATGTTTCTAAGCTCTGTAGCAGCAACATGAGGCTCCGGTCACCAGCCTTGTGGTTGATTAGTCATTGGCTCAGGCTCAATGTCTATTTCTCCTATGTTGGAGTTGCAATAACATAATTGTTTTGAGGAAGAGTTCATTCTACAGAAAAGCTCAATCAGGTGGGATTCTTAATGGACCAGCAGTCTCAAAAGGCCAATAGTACATCATCAAAGACTTAGGATACTACAAGCTTCTGTGGTTGGTTATACCATTTCCAAGTGCAAATGGAATTGAATTGAGAGAAGCATTTAACTTTTACTTGTTGTTTTTGAGGATGGTATGTGAGAAAAGTTTCAGATTGCTTAAAGGTCATTGGAGGATGTTTAGGAAGCTAGTTGAAGTTGAGACCATCACTCAGCTAACAGTTGCCATAAAAACAGCTTGCATTTTGCATAACTTCATTATTGGTATAGGTGAGGATCTCCAACTCGAATATCTAGAGACCTTGCTTCACTATTCATGATTTCTTGCATGACAATTGAGTAATCCTTGTCGTTGTTGTAATAATCATTTGCAAAAGCATTTCTAGGAAGCTCAACTTTGAAATGCGTGTAGTCAATTGCACCACAGCAATTTGGGAAGCCATGAAGACTCTTGAAACTTATTTTTACTGCTGATAGATCTACTGGCCACACAAGAAATTGTCTTAAATGCTGGAATAGGAAACTTCTGACAATACTTTTGGACAGTTACTTTAGAAACACTGAAATGCTCTACTAAACTAGCAAAAGATAAAGCAATGGCAACTTGCTTACCAACATGAACATATCTAGATTGAATGTTTCTCAAACTTAGAGGTGGTGCTATTTGCATTGATGGAGTAACAAATTCATAGATTGTCATGAACTACTCCTTAAAAACTCTGAAGAACTCTCTCCACCTTGTTGGATTTTGCATTTCAAACTTGTCCACCCAATGACAAGACCTTGGTTTGATATAGAAATCTCCCTCTTGAAATAAGTTCAATTGCAACGAATTCCCAACTACTGCCAAGCACATGTGATAATACACTAGCACTGATTGTTGTTGAAGAGCAACTTCAAGCCTCTCATCCTCAAGATATTTTCTAAGACACTAGATCTTTTATAAGCAACAACCAACTGTTCATCCCATATGAACCCTAATAATGTAGCATTAATCAATGACAAATCAGCATTGACTTAACTTGATTTTAAAATATTCTAGAATAATCTAACATAGATGATGGTTACATGTACCGTCATTTTATCACCGTCAGCAGACTGTGACAGTCACATGTGCAGCATCTATAAAGCCATTAAAGATTGGCCTTTAGTCGGGGGCGGAAAGTTTGTTTTTAAGGCGGGGGGAGAAATTTCCAGGTAATAAAAGGGTGAAAAAACGGCCCCCAAAAGCACCAAAGGATTATACCCAGACAACGGTGGCTAGGGTTAACAGGATCTGAGACTATGGAGGAGATTGTAGAGTTCATCGAAGACATAGATGGAGCAGAAGGTTGCGAGTTCTATCTTAACGATGGTAGAGTGGCAGTAAATGATGTTCTCCAGGAGTTCTTGGCTGTTTCTATCATTGTGAAGCTCAATGGGCAAGGCAGGGTCAGGTGGAGACGTCTACAGGCAGGGGAAGACGGCCTGAGCAGGTCTACGTATCTGCCTGGATCTTCTCATACTATTCGGGCAACGAGGGCTCCTACACGTAAGTAGCGTTGCCTGGATCTGCCTCCCTGGTGAGCTTTGTGGTCTTTGAATCTGAGTAAGGATGTGTTCTTCCTGGGCTGTGCTCCTCTTGAGTTATTTAGGAGTCTGCTTTGCTCGTTTCGCCCTTTGCCGGCTGGTTGTTTTGCCTCAGGAGTATGGTGCTATTCAGCCTGCTTGTTCCCTGGCTATGGCCGAGTACTGACAAGTTTATATTTCTGTTTCAGCGACCCTGCCGATAACCCTTCAAGCTGCGCCAGGTAAGCACTTACTGAGCAAAACCACGTCTTGGCTGGAACTTGGCGTTTTCTTGTCGTGGTGCTAGTGCGGCTATAGGGTGTCCGGGCTGCTGATGGTCTTTTTTTTGGCTCTGTAGCTTGTAGAACGTTTTGCCTGGATTTTCGGCATTGTGGCTCTCATATGCTTTTCAGCTTAATGTGTTGCTTTTCTGTTTAATGTGTCTATCGGTTTGCTTCTGCTCGTCTCACTTTTTTTTTGCTTTTTGGCGTCTTTTACTTTTGCTTCTACTACTGGCAAGTTTGTGTTGTAGTGTCGAGGTTGCTGGATGTATACACAAAACAACTGGAGGATGCAAGGTTTTTTCACGGGATGCCGGCGAGGAGGGTGCCAGGCTGCAAGGTGCCGCTTCTGGACAACGGTGGGCAGCCGTGTTTACATACGGACTTGGGAGATTATTTTACTTTGGTCGGAAGGGAGGAGATGATTCAGCATCTTATGGCTGCCACTGCACGGGTCTTTGCAACTTTCATGAACAAGACGGCCAGTGCCTCAGATATTGAACGAAAAGAGTTCTTGTTGATGGTCATCGGATTTCCCGGAGCAGGTAAAACAACTGTCGGGACATGTCTCTCAGCTCTTTTCAGAGAAGCGTGGGAGAGGGACACAAAAACAGGGACTATAGATGCCATTCTCGGCGACCAGCTAGGTTACAGTGGGCTTGCCACTCAGTTCAAGGAAGTGGTGAACAACGTGTTGGAGACTGGCAAAGATCTTAGTATGTACCATTCGGTTGAAACGACCATGGCGGGGGGTGCACTTCTGCTCGAGAACGGCCTGGAAGGCGCACAGGTTTTGGCCCTTCGGTCCTTGCATGCAGCACTTAGTCCAATGAATACGACTGCATATGGTGATTTTCTCAAGGAGTTGGATGACAAATTTCCGGGCCTGAGGAATGTGCTGACTTTCAGAGATGTGATCGACTTCATTCGAACTGGTCTTAAGGTTCCTGCCGACAAGCGAATTTTTCTATCTTGGTTTTTTGATGGAGGCCTCCGAGCTGCATCGTCCTGGATTCATGAAGCTTTCTCGGCCTATGTTCGACATATCAAAGGTAACCGAGGTGGCCTGACGTTTCCTGTACTTACAGTAGCAACGACCCGATTTTCTGGGGCCACAATGCGTTACACATCAACGGAGAAGGCAACAAGTATTTTTATACCTATTAGGCCTTTGAATGAGGAGGAGGTGGTAAATGTAACGACAATCTTCCTTTCAAGACTAGGAAATACTCTCGGCATGGAGAGACCATTTGAGTTGAAGGACGGACTAAGGAATCTGATAAAGTTAGCAGGAGGTAATCCTAGGATGCTTGATCACCTTTTGAGAGGGTTGATGCCCGAGCACCCTCATCTCGATGCTGCGAAGTTCTATGAGAAGGTTTATTCGGCTCTTTTTTGTCTTTTTTCTTGATGTGATGAGAAGTTTTTTTATGTTTGTTACAGGTGAATCAAGATCTCACCCAAACCGATCTCCGTGATACAATAAGGAACGCGTGGAGTACTATCAAACGCGGTTATTATTTTCACTACCTTGTGGACAAGAGGTATTTGTTGGTGCTACGAGCTCTTTATGTTGCGCTGCTGGGGACCCTGATCAGTCGGGACGAACTGGTCTGGCCAGGTAGCAGATACAAAGATAAGTGGGGATTTTTAGAGTCTTGCGGTTTAGTTGCACTCTTACGCAACGAGGTACTTTTCTGATATTTCAGAAGTTCATGTGAGTGGTTATGTGGTGTTAATGTACAGGAGCCGTCACCCAATAAGCACATAAACTTATCGAAACAGGAAGACACGAAGAATGGAATGCGCTCTTTTTCCGTCATGTTCTCTCCACTCCTTATTTACCATCTTGTCGAGAACCTACATGTGGCGGAGCTGAAACATTTATGGCCTCCTATACTGGATTCTAATCCCAAGGTTAAGGAGGTATCAGACCTTATGTGCATTGTCTTCATGATATACATGGGTAAGCTTTTTCATGATCGCGAGAAGAAGGACACGGTGTTTGAGTTCACACTCAAAGACATTCTCCCCTCAAATTTCCGCGTTCCTGCACGTATGCAGGCTTTGAAGTTCCAGTTGCCAGCTGGTGCAACGTTTGGACCTCCGAAACGTCAGCCCCATCAGATAGATACAGCAGACGTATTTCAGGCCTTTCTAAGAGAGGACAGGCAGCAGTTTTATTGGGTTGGCAACCATGGACCTGATAGCTTCATCCATCTGCAGCTGGTGGATCTTCAGAACAAGCTGCAGGACTTCTTTTTATTTATTGAGAGCAAACGCGCGGATGTTTATGAAGGACAGCAAGCCAAGTGGGAAGAAGACTTTCTGAAGAAGATATGGACGATGGAGCAATGGATGCCAGGTACTTAATTTTTCTTTGTGGATGGTTAAATGTGTCTTTTCAGATGGGAATTACGCCATGGTTTTTATGACCGATCAAGCAGTGTATAACGTGATTTCCAAAGTCAAAAGTTCCAACAGGATGGTTGTGCCAAAGGTTGATAAAGGTCAACACTTGTATCCACAGCAGAGTCCATTTGGTAAGTAATTGACTCTTTTTGTTATTCTTAGTTTTTATTGATCTATGTGTAGGTTTATTCAGTGCTGTGAGGCACACACCGATGCTAGCTGCTGCAAGTTTTGATCCGGACTACGAACCTAGTAATGAGGATAATGAGAGTGGTGATGAGGAAGATGACTGTGGTGATGAGGGTGATGAGGAAGATGACTCTGGTGATGAGGGTTGTGATGAGGATGATAATGAGTTTAGCCTACTCTAAAAATTCCTGAATGAGAATCAAGAAAACTCTCTATGACTCCATACCTGATGCATAAAAGAGGGAAAATAACTGGAACTTGCCTAGTAGTGCTCATCCTGCTTTACAGGGGAAGCTTCCACTAAAATCCAATCTAAAGGCCAATCTTTAATGCTTTAGAAGGCAAGAGGCCAAGGGCTGATTCCACTCATATATGACACTACTGCTGCTGCAAAGACCCTCCATGTACTTCTTTGTAACTTTTGAGAAACCAAGAGTAACAAATCTGCGAAAGCTACTGGCTGGCTGCGAGCATTGTAACTAGATTTATTCATCATATTACCTATTTGTTAAAAACCTTTTACCTCCTCAAAATAATGGATTGATGATGGAACAGGATGGTCTGTACAATGGTCATGGGTTTGCTCTGGCCATGGCACCAGCACAAAGGTTAGATGGATATAACAACTATGCCATCCAAGGACCACCATAAGCCTGTAATTCTGCTGCTTGGGTGAAGAGGAGGACATTGAAGGTAGTAGATGGTAGGAAGAGTTTTCCAACACATACAACAGTGATGGAAAGTAAAAACCATCAAGACGAATATGAAGTACTTTTGCTCATCATGGTGGCATGCCTTGTTGCAAGATGGGAGAACTTCATTTTCAAGGTTTAGCCCCAACTAGTTTTTGAATGGTGAAGTTTTTTAGCTATTCACTACAGAATAAGGCAATTGATGATGAAGTGGCATTCAGTGATAATCTATATAAAGCACTATTACAATGCATCACCTACAAACAATCCCAAGAAGGTAAATTAGTTTGAGACTAGGCTTGCAGACCAGAAACCCAACTTCAACACACAAGCTAAACAGATTGGTGTTATGTCAGATTTAAGCACCCATAATAGAAATCAGAAAATATTTTCCATAAAGTGGGCAACAATAGCTTCACATGCAGTTGAGAATGATAACATGCACAAACCTAACACCATACACATTAATGTTCTCTACTCATCCAAAAAGAATTTGAACTTTGCTCATTCGAATGGTGAAGTGATTGCTATAGTGCTTTCCATGCCATATCTTGCTATAACTTTTAGTGCGTACTACATGAAGCTGAGAAGTCTTCACTAGTGGTATTAGATAGAGTTTGAGGTTCTTTATATACATCCACAAAGATTGAGAGAAGTTTTTTGGGTTTATTCACTTTTCTTTGTGATGAGCTTGTTCCAAAATTGGCCAGGAGGCCTCCTCCAGATTTGGCAAAAATACTAAGGTGGCACTTGCTTGTTTCAAAGAAAATAGCTATTGCTTTGAAACACTTGGCATTTGGGGATATGTGGTGAATGATTTAATGCATTTGGAGTGACTTCATGCACTACTCAAGCTTGTCTATGGCATTTTAGGTATGCATTATTTAAGCATGAAGGACTAATGATCCATTGGCCAAATGAGAAAAGAATGAATGAAGTTATAGCAAGATTTCAAAGATTGCGTGGATTCTCAAATTGTTGTGATGCAATGGATGGCACTCACATTGCAATCAAGCTCCCAAGATCAGGGTTCACAACAAATTGGTATGTTAGGGCAAGAAAATACTATTCAATGGTAGATAATAAAACTTCATTCTTTGACATAACAACAAGGATAACAAATAATATTCCAAATAGATGAGTTTGGAATTCTAGTGGTTTGAAGGATTGAAAAGAAGTGTTTATGTAACCTAGTGTACCACACAAAGTTCGAGGGGATTCCATAGTGGAGGATATGATTAATTTTGGTTAATAGGTTCATGGCAAAAAGGTACAACTTCCTTCATTCTTCTACATGGATTGTTGTCAAGTGATCTTTTGGAATTTTGAAGAGGCAATGAAAATTGCTAGCTTAGAAAGGATTCAGAGGACATCAAAGCATCTTTGCAAACAATATCATGGCTTGTTGCATATTGCATAACTTAATGATCACAAAAAATGACAAGTTCATGGAAAATCTTAACTCTAACAGATTTAACCTCCACAAAAGGTCTCTTCATTTAGCCAAAGATGGCATAATTTTGAGAGATACTGTGGAAAAATTTGTTGAGAGTTTGGAATGATAGTACTTTATTCAATACAATGTTTCTGCATGAACTTGCATCATGAGATATTGATATTTTGTGAGACTAGACGCTATGCTACTGGTCAGTGAACATGAGAATCCAGAACACAAAAACAGTACCATAGTCCATATAGAATGAAAAAAGGAAATAAGATCCATGAGGAAAAGCTATAAGCTCGCTAGCTAGTCTTGCAAAGCTTACCATGATCCAGATGTGAAGAGGATACGCATCAGCCTTGTTGGAACTTTGGGCCAAGGCTGTCGATTTCTCCCACAGATCCTATCAAACAGCGACTCCATGGATGTCACTGCGAAGAAATTGCAAGAAGAAAAGACAAAGTAGTGTTTGTGACGAGCCAGAACGAAGCACCTTCCATTTTGAAGTTCCCTAAAAGTCAATGTTCTCCACAACAGTGGATGCATTGTATGACCCTGCAAACATTCCAAAAAATTCTATCAGCCTTCTAATCGAGCCCCGTTATACTTATCTCTCAAATTTGAGTTGTGCAAAGTGAGGGCACCGCAAATCATGCATGGCAGCATCACTCAGCTGGCCTTGAGCTTGGGCAGGCTAAGGAAGAAGTCCGTCAACACCGTCTCGTATGCAGGCATCTGGTGAAATAGTTGACGTGGTAGTGGTTCCTGGCTACCACAGATGAGTCCCAGATAAGATTGAAGTTGAAGATCTGGAGCCCTCAATCCCTTGGCCAGCTCCGCCACAAACTTGGTCGGTGGGAGGCAGTCCGATGCCCCACAGATCTGCAAGAAGCACAGTGCCTCCAACCGGTTGAGCTCGTCCTCAGGCACATCCGGGAGGGACCTCCGCTTGACACACTTGACGTAGTTGCCCACCACGTACATCTTGAAGATGACGCCACCATGGTTGAAGAATTCCTGGAGGACAACCGGCAGCTTGAACTTGGTGAGACCCTCTTGGTTGAAGGTGAGAGACATGGCATGGGAGTTTGTGCTGCCATTGGCCACCAGCAGCTTGGTGATCACCGGGAACTTGGGGCTGCTCATTGCCTTGAGATCGCCCTGGCAATCCGCCCTCAAAGGTCTCCTGTTCGTCACCCAACTGGAGGTCCGACACCACCTGGAGCATCTAGATGCGGTTTGTGAATGGAGGATGCTCACTCACCAGCCATGGCAATCCAATCTGGAGCAGCTTCAATGCCAGGGTTCCCAATACACCCAAGTAGACAATACTAGAGAACCCTAGCTCTTTGCATTCTTTGCCTTCTCCTTGAACAAGGCATTTGAAAAGTTTATCTTCCCTCCTGACTACTGGAGACAGCTTGCTGATTCACTTCTGTGCCTGCTCAAGTGATCGGTGGAAGTTCAGAAACTTCTCTACGGTTGGTTGAGTATTTCTATAAACATACTGCCAAAAAAGAAATAAAAGAAGTGTAAAAGAGCAATGGCCTTGTGAAGAAACTTGAGTACCACACCAAGCATCAACATGCTTATTCTGTGATTCAGGAATTGACCATGGACAAAATCTGGATTGATGAAATGTGTATGTACTATTCCCCAATGCCCCTTAGGGGCTAAAAACAATATCGAGAGTGCACTCTTAAAGATACTAACAAGACTACAAGCACGGATGCCCGGTGCTGCTTGTGGGATGCCTGCCTTCCAGGTGACTCCACCGCAAAACTTGAAGCCACCTGCTACACTCCACGACACTCGAGACTGCTACAGAACACTCCACCATCAACATGCATCCAGTGCCAAAACGATGCCCGATCGCAATGCAACTCCAACTCGTAGATCCATGCGAGGTGTGAACATCCTCCAACTCATAGTCAGAGTGTGCTACCCTGCCTCCTGCATGGGACAAGTGCACTAGCCCATTTTCAAAAGATTCCTAGCCCTAGGGACTAGAGAAATGGCCCAAGCCTCCTCTTATGGGAGCCAAATGCTCCAGATCTAGCGTTGGAGAGGAAATGTGTGGATCCCCTACACATGCAGCATCTAATTATCTCCGTTGGCTGCTAGTCCCTATTGTGGTTGCTAGTCCCCATTGTGGCAGCAATCCCTGCCATTGGATCCAAAAATCCTCCCTTCCCGATCATCCTCAAAGCGAGACATTGTGCATGGTCTTCCAAAGAGAATCTAGAAAGCTGGGAACTTTTTCAAGTCCTAGTTACTCCAAATCACCCATAAAATAACATCCAGCTCCACCAATCCTCAATTGCTACTGTCTCTATCACACATCAAGGCAAGCAAGATCACATAGATTTTGGTAAAGAACTCTATTTCTAGAGTTTTTGCAACTGTTTGTCCACTGTCGAAATGCCTTAAGAGCCTCCTAATACTGCAACAACCTGCCACTGCTAGCGCTAGAAGCCCTAACTGCCCTCCAACAGGAATCCTAGCTAGCCGCTGCCCAAGAACCTTAATTCCAGAGTGTGAGCTAGACAAGAGCTGGATCGAGATCAAACTTTGGACTTGCATTTTAACAATTTAAAAAACAAATTTGGCAATTCTACTTCTCCTTTGTCACGGTTGATTCCACAAAAGTTTGCCTGAGAAGTTGAAGCTCCTTGCACATCATGTGTGTTCTTTGCAACATCATCACATCTCTCCTATCTACAGCCACAATTGAAGCTTGGTGCTATTCATCATTAGTTACTTAAATTTTCTCCAAGTCTCATAGCTCAGGTCGTCTCATAAATCTGCTGGTTCCAGTTCCAATTCCATTAGTGTTAAGCACCACATCAGGATAATAGGATAAAGAAGGGGCAATGTGTTAGGTGCCAGCTTTGACCACATGGTCAACGTTGGTCAAAGGGAGGCTCAAGGGTATATTAAGGGATGTTAGGGTAAGGGAAAAAAACCTACCCTAGGGCTTACAGTGGAGTGGCGGTGCAGTGGAGCTTTTGAGGTAGCTCGGGGGTGGTTGGTGAGGAACCTCAAGAGGTGGTGTAGCATAGTCTAGGGCGACTAGATCTCTGTCTTTTTGTGCCAGATCATAACATTGGTATTAGAGGAGTTGGTTGCGATGGCCGACCAAGCTGAATGCTGGAATCCTATTGTCAGTGGTGGTGCTGATGATGGTGCTGATGAAGCTGTGGAGATTTGGACCATTCAATATGTGGTTCATGAGCTGCGAGCCCTTAATCGAAATCAGCAAAAGATGCAAGACAAAATGCATGGCATAATGGATACCATGCATGGGCGTGTTGAGGCACTCGAGGCTGGACGGGGTAGCACTCCAAGTAAACCTTCTTTGGTAGAGCGACTCAAGATTCCAACCTTTTTCGGTGATGGTGGTGTGGATGAGTGTCTCGCTTCGCTAGCCAATGTGAAAAAGTTCTTAGCTGCTAAGGGAACTCCAGATGCAGAGGCTTTAGTGGCTATTCCAATGGTTTTGCGTGATGTGGGTCTTTGATGGTGGAATTGGCTTAAGGAGTCTTGTGTTGCAGATAAGAAACCACCAGTGTCTACCATGGATGAGTTTGAGGCTGCTTTCCGTTTATGTTTTGCCCCTCATTACAACGTGGAAAATGCTCATACAAAACTTTGATTCGAGCAAGGGAAAATGACGTTCGGGGACTATATTGAGCTTGATTAGTCGTGTTCCAATGAAAGATCCAGATCAGAACAAGTCCTACTTCATTGATGGCCTACATATTGAGAGCATGCAGCAACACTTGCGTCATTCTCACCCTACAAAGAGTTTGAAGGAGCTTTTTGATGTGGCTCGTTGACTTGACAATGACAAGCATAGGTCTTGCAAGCATTCGCAAAGTCCTTTTGTCGATAATCATTGTGATAATTGCCATGGACACAAGGATGGGAACAAGCATCACAAGTTGAAGTTGGTGGTGACTACTTCGGATGCAAAGGGGTCCAAGAAGTGGAAGTTCTTTGTGAAGAATTATAAACAGGGTTGTCATCATTGTAGCGAACTTGGACACTATAAGGCTGATTTTCCGCAGTTGAAGAACAAGCAGTAGGATAAGAAAAATGGCCAATCTTCTAGTCATGGTAAGTTAGATACTAAAAAGTTACAAACTTTGCAGCATGAGGATGATGAGAACAACCATTCTGATCAAAGGAAGAGACTTTCGATCGTTGCTCGTTAGCTCAACTGTGTGTGGAACAAGATGGAGCTCGAGGATACGTGTGAATCAGCTTTAATGCTGGAGGGCGTGTTCCGTGGCGATCCAGTGCAGATTTTACTGGATAGTGGGAGCGATAACAACTTTGTTTCGGCTAAGTTTGTTGCAGAGCATGGCCTGGTCACACGCGGAGTTCTTCCATACATAGTGGAAGGTGCAACTACCTCTACTTAGCATTTTGATGCTTGTCTCGAGGGGCTGGAAGTGTTGGTTGGCAAAACCACACTTGTGGAGACTTTTTATCTCGCGGATATCCATCATGTGGATTTCATTTTTGGGATGCCATGGTTGGTGAAGGTGGATCCAGAAATAAAGTGGAGTATTAAGCATATCTCGTTGGAGTATGATGGTGTTAAAGATGTGTGGTTTGGCAAGGGCGTTCAACCACCAGTTGTTATGCTCTCTGTTAACTCTTTGAAGTAGGCTTGTCGTAATGGAAAAGCACTTTCGAGTTACTTGCTATTTGTTCATGACTTGGGGGACCAAGGCACGTGTGGGGGAGAAGCAACAGTACGGGATGTACTTGATGAGTTTTCTGATGTTTTTCCATCTGAACTTCTTCATGGGTTGCCTCCGTTACGAGGTGTGGAGCATGGGATTACATTAGAGCCGGGGACGTGGCCATTTTACCGGTGTTCATTTCGGTTAAGTTATGCAGAGGAGCAAGAAGTTCAACGACAAGTCAAAGAGTTACTTGAGTTTGGATTTATTCAGCCAAGTAAGTCTCAGTTTGGTGCTTTGGTCTTGCTTGTGAAGAAGAAGGACGGTTCAATGTGGATGTGTATTGACTACCGCGCTTTGAACAAGAAGACAGTGAAGGATAAAATGCCAATGCCATATGTGGATGATATCCTAGACAAGCTTGGTGATGCACGAGTGTTTACCAAGATTGATCTGAGGAGTGGATATCATCAGATTGCAATGGATGATGCATTTATCTCCAAAACGGCATTTAACACAAGCTTTGGACATTTTGAGTTTACAGTTATGCCGTTTGGTTTGACGAATGCACCAACCACATTTACTTGGTTGATGACAAAGGTATTTGGGTGTTATCTTCATGAGTTTGTGAAGATTTTCTTGGACGATATTCTTGTTTTTAGCAAGAATATGGAGGAGCATAAGGTGCATTTGTGCAAGGTTCTTTTGTTACTCCGAGACAGCAAACTTTATATGAAGAAGAGCAAATATGAGTTTGCAAAGTCAGAGGTGGAATATCTAGGCTATATTGTGACATCTAAGGGTGTCAAGATGGATCCAAGGAAGGTGGTTGTGGTGGAAAACTGGCCTACACTGACTACAGTGGCCGAGTTGCGCAGTTTTCTTGGTATGGCATACTACCAATGTTTCCAGCATAAGTTTGCAGAGGTGGCTATTCTTTTGATGTGGTTGTTACACAAGAATGTGCCATTCGAGTGGAAGAAGCCACAAGAGGAGAGTTTTGTAGTGTTGAAACGATTGTTGAGCGAGACTCCAGTGCTTCACATTGCTGATCCATCGAAACCTTACAAGGTGACATGCGATGCGAGTGGTTATGCACTGGGAGGAATTCTCATGCAAGAGGGACAGCCTATTGCATATGAGAGTCAAAGTTTGAATTCCGTAGAGCAACGCTATTCCATATATGAACAAGAGTTACTCTCTATTGTTCATGCTTTGTAGATGTGGTGACACTATTTTTATGGTGCAGTGTTCGTGGTGCAAACCACTTGTGTATCTTTTTACACAGGAGTTGAACACTAAGCAAGCTCGTTGGATGGTCAAACTCATGGAGTTTGGGGAGTTTTCTATTGAGCATTGTCTAGGAAAATCCAATGTGGTGGCAGATGCTTTATCTCGTGTTTGTCATGTGACAACGTTACAAACACGATTTTGTCATCATTTGAGTAAGGTGGTTAGCAAGTTTGGGCAGTTGGTTGAGCATGCTTAGGCTTAGGATGCTGAGGTGGCCTCTTTGCGAGACTAGATGGAAGCCCCTTTCTCATTAGTGGATGGGATTCTCTACTACAATGGCCGTGTATATTTGCTACGAGTGGATGTGTTAATTACTCAAGTTTTATTCCACTATCATGATCGTCTAGAGGCCGGTCATTTTTGGGGGAAGAAGACGTATGAATTGATTAAGCGCAACTTTTATTGGAGGAATATGAAGGCTGATATCCTCAAGTATTGTAAATCATGCAAGTTTTGTCAGCAGGTTAAGGTGCTATAGGAGAAGCCGGGGGGACTTTTGCAACCTTTACCTATTCCTCAGAGCCTTTGGTGTAATATCTCTATAGACTTCATCACTTGTTTGCCACTAACATAGAGGCAAAACTTGTTTGCCACTAACATAGAGGCAAAAGGAGCAAATATGGGTCATAGTGGATTGGTTGACAAAGTATATGCGGTTGTTGGCTCTTTGAAAGATTGTCACTACCTCAGACTTGGCTGCGGTTTACTTAGAGAAGGTTTTTTTTTTATTTTGGTTTGCCGGAGGATATCATTAGTGATCGAGATTCAAAGTTCACCAGTGGATTTTAGAAAAGCTTTGTATAGGCTATACAAGTGACTTTGAAACTCTCGAGTGGAGATTATCCTCAGACGGATAGGCAAACCGAGCGTGTGAATCAGGTGGTGGAGGATATGCTACGTTGTAGCATTGGTTAAAGGTAAGAACAGTGGGATCTTCCGTTGGTGCAATTTGCTTACAACAATAGCCAACACAGTGGAACCAAGCTAAGTCTTTACTTTGCCATATATGGAAGGCATCCTCGAACAATGGTGGAGTTGGGATTGCATTTGAGTAAGGACGTTCATGATAAGCTTGATTCTGAGGCAACTGATCTGGCCATAAAACTTGATGAGATTCTGGTGGTGTATAAACGGAATTTGCAAGTAGCTCAGGATAGAGTGGAGAAGTTTGCGAATGAGCATCGCCAATTCCGGGAATATAAAGTGGGTGATCTCGTCTTTGTGCGAGTGATCTTTCCATCAAGTGAGCGGCAGAACACCTTGGTGCTTTTACAAATAGGGAAGAGTGATAAACTTTCCTATCGATATGCTGGTCCATATGAAGTGCTAGAGCGCATTGGTAAAGCGGCTTATCAGGTGCGGTTGCCGGCTGGGGTGAAAATTCATTCGGTATTTTATGTCAGCCAGTTGAAAGGTGTACTATCTTGGAGTGATGGGCCCAATGCCTCCTTGATGTATACGGCTGTGGAAGATGGACCAAGAGCTTGAGCAAAGTTCCCCAAAAAGGGTGATCACAAGTACAACTTGTCCTTGGGACAAAGACTTTGTTGGGGGGGGAAGAATTGTTAGGCGCCAGCTTTGACCACGTGGTCAACA